GAAAGACAGCCCCGGGCGTCAGCTCTGGCAGGTGTGCACGCGGGAAAATCTGAGCTCGACATTGCCACAATTTTGAAAGTTTAAGAGATGCCAGAAATCTTATGTAAAATTTTACATGACGTCACCCAAATTTTAAAAGTAAACAACTTTTATTTATTTATTTTTTAAAGCTATGAGCTATGAAAGATCAACCAGATGTGGTCAAGAGGTCACCGATGTGCCTTAAAGAGACAAAATACATTAAAGAGCTCTCAATAGAACAGGAATTCAGTCTTTGGTTTGAATCATGGGGACTTTTGCCCACAGTCTTCAAGACACATGTTGGGCGGCGGGAACCAGAGGAAGTCACTAACAAACAAAAACTGACCTTCACAAATTCTCCCCTCAGGTTTCTTTGGGCTGCTAGCCATGTGTTCTTTTATCTTCCCCACCCGTCCCAATTTATGTGTTTGTAACTGTTTCCTAAGCAGCTGTTACTGCAGGTCTCCATCCAAATGACAAAATGGGCTGACTCCTCAAGGCGGTAAGAAGAAAATGGTGGTGGGGGTTAAGAGAAAAATCACATCAAACAGACTAATGGTCTTACATAACCTAACACAGCAACGCCGGCTTCTAATCGCCGGAGAAAATGAAACACACAACAAAGACGTCCTAAGGGGTCCGCGGTGGAACAGCAGGTCCACAGTCGGACATTTTATGGCCCCAATACTTCCTTTCTTTTTACCCACTGATTTTCACCTCCAGCACTTTTCTTAACATTCAAAATGGCCCCAAATGACCCAATACTCTTCCCTTCTGGCCTTGAACTAACAGAAACCAGTGGTTCGGAAACAGAGAGAAGGTAAAAGAATGAGTCTAAGTGCAGTCCTGTATGTCCTCTGGGAAGGTAGGGGTTCAGATGTAAAAAGTCATGACCACATAGATACGACGACAGTTTTGAATTTCCCAGTAATATTGCCTAATAATATGCCTGTCATTCTAAATCATGGATTATTCAATTAGCCAAGAATCTAGACGCAAGTTGGGAAATTCATTAATTCACCTACATACCAACTATGTGCCAAGACAAGAGGCTGAGCACAGGGAGACTCTGACCTCCTCTACTGTGAACAGTGTGCACCTAGACACTCAAGTTCTCAACGACACGAAGTGCCCAGCTGCAGAAACTGTTCTCTCCTTTCGCTAATGACATTTCTCGTCAACATTATATTATAAAAATACTAAGATTAAAACGATAAAAACAACATACATACTCTCATGGTGACTGGTATTAGTAAGTCCATTTATGAAATAAGTAAGCCAATATGTTTCTCATTTCCTCACTTCCACGATGTATTTGGAGTGTGTGTGTGTGTTTATTTGACATTGCAAAAAGCAGGCACATCTTACACTCAGCATGTATATTTAGATAGTCTTCTCTTTATCCCTCTAATGGTGGCTATAAAATCAATACAGAACTTTACATTTACCAGTACATAAAATAATTGAAAGAGTAAGGCACTTGTCACACCTACCAAGAGGCAAGAGAGCAGCTTTTTGAAAGACATAAACAAAGAAAAGAGATAGGTTTTCTCTCTGAGGGGCTCAGAACCTATTCAGTGGGACAAATCTGCACATGTGAAAGGGTTCAAGAGTACAGTGGTTGGGGACCAGCAGTTAGTATAATGGCTATGTCGCTGGACTCCCATGTAGCCAACCACAGTTCAAGTCCCGGACCCAGTGGCTTAAACTCACACTGAGTGCGCGTGTGCATGTGTGCCTAAGATCCTAAGAGGAGAATGGAGGAGAAGGGATTGCGGCGTGGCCATCTCCCCTGGGGGGTGATTTCTTGCTCTCTGTCTCCCTCTGTCTTTCTGGCGAGCACCCGCACCATATAGCAAAAAAATGACCTCTCCAAAGAAAAAAGAAGAGTACAGTGGTTGAGTGAGTCATAGTAACTGGACGGACAAATGTAGCTGAGAAGAAGGGTGTCTGCATTGGTAAAAACATAAATAAATAAAAGATTCAGAAGCCAAAAAGCTGATAGAAACAGATTAGAAGGACCTGACAAAGAGGGACACAAAATTAATAGGTAAAGTGATGGCAGAATATCTACATCCTTGCAAATCAAGGCAAAGTAAAAATACGGTTTGAACAAAGGGAGTACAAGCTCACGCTGATGGGTGATGGCAGTGTCAACATGCGGTGAGAAAACACTCGCACGCAGACATGAAATGAAGTCGGGCAGAGGCTCAACGGGGTGGGGTCTAGTAGCTCCATTTTGAAGAAAATCTCAGGAGGGTTTGTCTGGAGTTTGTCGTGTAGACCATTGACGTTGGCACTGCTGACATCAGCATTATTGGCGTGGCCCAGTCACACTCTGCTATGGGGCTAAGTGTTGCAGGATGTACAGTGCCCTC